CCATTGATATTGACTCGTTAGATACAGAGCTTTCGATATGAGCACATTTAGTCTTTGACCTGCTCTAGCAGATAGCTGCACATTCTGTGTGTATAATCATTTCAGCAAACTTAAGTTGAATTTTGATATGGTTAACTTACTATCTCATTATAATGACTTACTATCTCATTATAATGACTTAATATCTCATTATTAGGACTTAATATCTCATTATTATGATTTAAGCCGACTACCAGCAAGTGAAAGCAATACACTAGCTAGCTGTAAGCAATCCTGATTTTGGAGCACTCCTGAAGAGAATACATTGTTTCTGCTCTTGCCACACGCCAAAGCTTGTTATTTTGTAGCTTCCTCTGTAGTGTCCGTAGGCTTAGTTTAATATTGTGTGATTCCTCCAAAACCACTAAAATGTCCTTATTTGTGAATCCGCGTCTGAAGTAGTCTTCAATTATAGTATCCATTAGTTCAGCTAAGTGTGTCCCACACACTTGCTTCTGTTGCTTTGGTGTAAAGGGATGAAAGCTAATTTTAAAATTGCTCTTATATGATAGTAAGTCATAATGAAGAGATTGTTTTAGAAATATATCATTAAATCTCATTTAATCATAAGTATTACTCTAACTTCATTATCTGTTTATTTCCCACGGTTTGAATTGACATCTAGCCTCTAATTTCCACTTCCTTAGAACAAACAAAAGGCTGTCTCTACAACCATTGGTTTGTAATGAACATGTATGTGAGTTTCAACCGTCTGGCCAAATGTTTTCCTGTAATGTATATTGCATAGCTGTATGTACGTTTCAACCATTTGGTCAATACTTCTTGTAAATGTGCTTGCTGAGGACCTTCCCCTTCCCTCCTTCTGTAGTGTATAAAGTGTTTTTATTTTATTTTGTATGTTGTCAAATCTTGTACCAACCTTTTAGTGCAAGACTCTGTCCTTTCAGCTGAAATAGATTAACTCTGTTAAATGCTTTTGGACTTTTATTGACTTTATTAAATAACAAAATGTTGCTTTAAACTTCTATTGTTTGTTTATTTCTTGCCAAACAGGTTGTTTCTGTTTTTTAAGTGGAATTTCATCCACAGTTATAATAATGAGATAGCTAAGTCATTATAATGAGTTGGCTAAGTCATTATAATGAGATAGCTAAGTCATTATAATGAGATAGCTAAGTCATTATAATGAGATAGCTAAGTCATTATAATGAGATAGCTAAGTCATTATAATGAGACAGTTTACGTGGGCTGGGCTGGGTGAGGCTGAGTGAGATTCCCGGGCTGATTTTTAATCCCAGTCCGCCCATCATGCGCCTTGGTGACCGGACATCTCCTTCATAAAACTAATAAAAGGGGGAGTAATCGGGCAGTTCGGTGTGTGGGGGTGTGTGGTTAAAACGTAACAGCCTGCGGTCACTCTTTAGCTGTTCAATGAAGGTAAACACAGTGTAGGCGGTGCGTAAAAGCTCTTTGAGCACTGGTGCTGCTCTTCTTTGAGTTACACGTCCCGCTGCCTCCTGGAGTGACCGCACACACCTCTGGCCGAAAAGTCCTTAAAACGAAGTCTGAGTACGAAATATATCTCAAATAATGTATGCACTGTCATTTCCCCACGTAAACATAACAGTCTGCATGCAATTACACTGTTGTCTCCTGTGCGTTCCACTTCCTCCTTGGCACACCGGTAACTTTCTAATTTGTTTTTTTTAAAAGTCGGGATAACGGGTTAGTTTCTCGTGCGCACGAGCTACTAACCCGTTATCCTGTTTTTTTTTGTTTTTTTCATGTCCCTTTAGGGACTCCGTATAATTTTGACTTACATGATTTTTATTTATTTTTCCTGTGGTGCAAACAGGCTTCCATAATCCTGACTACTGGTCCGTATGATAAGCTTTTTTTCTTCTAAATAAATCTAAATGTATTTATAAACAAAGTGCAATTGATTTCTAAAGGATCATTTGCATGCCCAACACAGAGCATCCTGGGACTGTTGGGCTGAAATGATAGACAACAAACTATGTGTGTGTGGGCATGTCATGTCTCTGCAGTCTGCCAGTCTTCCCACACACACTCAGACAAAAGGCTCTTTTGATTCAGTCAGAGATGGAAACAAACAAAAAGGCATTTAAAGAATGCATTTATCAAAAAGAGTCATGTGAAGAGAAGAAAATTCAGCAACATTTATATAATTTGTTGGCTTCAAACTGCTTGTGGAATTTGAGGAATAACACTTGTTTATTCAAGCTAAACACAATGTATATTCCAGAAATGCACAGTCAAGGAATTTGTCAATTGTCAAGGTAATTTCGTTAAATATATTGTATAGTTGAGTAAAAATCACATTGTGAGTTTTACCTTAACACAAGGAGCTGCTCATGTACAAGCTCATGTATGGATGTCTCATTATAGACTAGAGCTGTTAGCACTGAACCCAGCATGGTGTGCTTTCATTGGTCCAGAGGAAGTGGGTTTCAGGTCTTATGCCCCTCATCAAAGCAAAACCAAAAACGTCACGAGGCGGGGGCAGGGGCGCTGAGCAAAGGGACTAGATCGCGACCACACACTTATAAAAAACACACTTATATAAAGTGAGGCAACACTAACCAGGCAGAGTTTGATGCTGTTTGTTTTGAGCTTACTTTTAATGATCATCCGTTCTCTCTTATTTGCCGTTTTGAAGCGAAGCACACTGTCTCTAATGTTTTCCTCTTGTTTTTTATTATAGCAGCTATCGTGTGGAATCAGTACTTGGGCTACACAAGTAAAATCATAAAGAAAAATATGCAGGTAAAATATACCTGTAGAAAACGGCTTATGCCACAATATTGCCCCTTTCACACCAGCGCTTTTTCAGCTCCGACTCGGAGCTGGAGCCTGAAAAGCGCCGGTTTTTCCTGTTCACACCGCTGCGGGCCGGCTCTTAGCTCCGGAATCCGGTTCACTTCCAGCTCCAAAAAATTGTCGGTCTAGAGGCAAGAGCTTCGGAGCTAAGAGGTGGCGTCGCTTACGTCTCTCTTACGTCGAGGCGTGCAGGAAACTAAACCCTCCTCCCCTGAACATGGGTCGACTGTCATGCCTGCCTACAACAGGGTTGCCAACTCTCACGCATCTGGCGTGTGACACACGCTTTCACTCTCAATCTCACGCTGCCCAAACTATTCTCACGCCAAAAACAAGAATACCGAAGACAAGAAACGGTTTTGAAAACTGTTGTCACGTAGTGATCGTCTTCTCAATAGAGCATCTTTGATAATGTCTTCTGGCCAATCAGAATCAAGATAACGGCGTGGTGTTGTTGCAGGAAGTCCCGACGGAGAATACTTCTGCTGTAGTAGCCTACATCTCTATATACATCGATACATACAACATTACGTGTTGATAGAAATCAACACGTAATGAAATAAGACCCCACGGTTTGATGATTGATGTGTGGGCTGTCTTTCATTTTGACACACAGAACAATGGGGGCTATCCACCCTTATCCACAATGTAACATCATTCACACAGCCTCTTCCCTCCTCTACCGGAAGAGGCTGTGTGAATGACGTTACATTGTGGATCCACAATGTAAAGTAATTCACAGCCTCTTCCCTCTTCTCTCTGTGAGGAGCAGCAGGTTCAGCTTTCAGAACAAAGTAACACAAAACTAAAATGGCATTCATTTTTTAAATATGTCGTGTAGTAATACATTTATTTATTTGTCTTCTCAAGAGAGTACCAGAATGTGTATTTTATGTTAGTATTTCAAAAGATCTCCTGGGGGAGAATCCCCCCAGACCCCCCTGCAGGGGTTGGGTTTTCAGCATGTCAACTCTTTCACCTGTGGGGAAATTGCAGGATTGGCTCCAGGTCACCCTTTTTTTTTTACTTCAAGACAAATGTGCCTTTTTATTTGATACAGTTCAATTTGGATTGAGACAGGGAAATAATCTAAACCTCACGCGTGGCGTTTCACTGTCAAGGGGAGCGTGTATGTAATTACATTGCAAATACTGATTTGAGCCCCACCACTGGGGTTAGCCCTACCATAGATTACCCAACAGAAATACTCCGACCCGTATTGCGCATGGGCAGATCTAAGATATAGAGTCAAAGAGTATATGAGAGTGAGAGTGTGTTAATTAATATATATGTTTGGAGTAAGTCTGTAGATTTGTGTGTGTCTGTGTGTTTCATGTATAGGCATCTCACGATAATTAATTTTGTTGGATACATTTTCCCGGAAATTATTGCGATAAACGATAATATTGTCGGCACCGTTGTATGACCATTTAAGACCACTGACATAATGATAATATATAATAATAATTCAAGTACATCCTTTCAAACTGCTAGTCACATCCTCATGTAAATGGCAATGTATCGAGTTCATTTTTATTTATCGTACGATAAGTCAATTTGCTTATCGCGACAGGCACACAATAAAATAGTGGAAACAAACATGTGTTTGACTTTCATTAGTGAATGAAACTGTGTGCCCTTTATAGTCTGTGTCCAATATTGTGTATTTGTATATATTGTATATCCTATTATATATGCTAAGGTCCCGCTGCTGACACGATAGCAGTCATTTAGTGCGCATATGTAATTAAACCCATGATATCAAAATCTCACTCCAGCCAGGCACCCAAAGTTGGCAACCCTGGCAGTAGCACAAGCAGTAGTGCTTATAAACACACTTTATAAAGTCAGGCAACACTAACCAGGCTTCGTGTGATTCTGTTTATTTGTACCTTACTTTGACCATCCGTTCACTGTTATTGATCATTGTGGAGAGAGGCAGACGTGTTGTTTTGTATTATAGCAGCTATCGGATGGAATCAATACATCAGGGTTGCCAACTTTGGGTACCTGGCTGGAGTGAGATTTTGATATCATGGGTTTAATTACACGTATGCACACTAAATGACTGCTATCGCGTCCGTAGCGGGACCGTACCATATATATATATACAATATATACAAATACACAATATTGGACATAGACTATAAATGGCACAAAGTTTCATTCACTAATGAAAGTCAAACACATGTTTGTTTCCACTGTTTTATTGTGACTCTATTTTGGCCTAGTCGAACAATAAGCAGCAGACTTTGACTTGTTTATCATTTCTACTGGTGGTTCGTATTTGAATCAGCATGGTTCAATCTGACTTCCTTTGATGCACATAATGGATGACAGTGTCCCATCAAGTGCAAGTCTGTTTCGACACTCTGTTTTGTTCAGTCCAATTACTGAGAAGACTCGTTCTGCATCCCTATTAGAGTGAGGTAGGCATAGGACAAGCTGGGCCACCTTCCCAAGTCTGGGGAACTGTTCTTTACCAGTTACTCGGCTCTTCTGCGTAGTCAAGTGTGCCCACACCATGTCCATACGATGGAATTGTTCTTCCTCTCCAACACTCACCAGGGCACCTTTCCAGACCATGTCAGGGATATCCGTTTCCTCCAGCATTTGGTACTCCAGGAACTCATCCAAAATCCTGTCCTGTTCCCTTGGGTCCTCAAAAGGAAGAAGGTGTTTGTATCTGGGCAAAGACAATTGCAACAACATTATTTATAATAGAAACAAAATATTCAGACATTTATTTTGCCATTAGATTATTGAATTCTGTAAATAAATATACATAAAACAATAACCAATTCTCTATCCAGATAGAAATAAATAATCCTTTACAATAACAGAATCTCCCAATGTAATATCTAAGCAAGCTGTATTTGTTCACCCATCTCAACTGCTTGTAAAGCCTGTCAAAATCACCATTTATCTTTAATTAACTTCTCACGTTGTTTAAATGCAGTAATGGTAAAGTGAAAATAAGGGTTCAGTAATTGTACCTTTGGACAAAGTAGAGCACATCATCCACATGGGAGTTTTGTCTCTGCCTGAAGTCCACAAACTCAGCATGTGGCAGCAGGGGGTCATTGAGAGGTAGCTTCTTCAGTGCATATTCAGTAGACCGAAGCAGGAAGCCTCTTGCTGCCTTGTTGAATTTGGTGACATCACCTGAGGGAATCTCACCAGCTTCATGCAGCCTTATCAGTGTGGACTTTGTAGTCAGTCCAATGCCAAGCTGGGTGTCTGAAAGGAAAAAAAGACTACCATGCATTATTTTGCCCATACTATATACCTGTAGATTATTTCAGTTGTCATAAAAGGGTCAAATAATATAGGCTATAACAGTCAATTGTATTCACCTGGCAGTTGGTTTTCTTGATCCTGAAGATCAACACTCTCCAAGCTAGTTGTTCTGAAAGCTGCAGGCTTCAAGAATTTGGACATTAGCTTTCGAATGAATGCCCTCACCTGAAATACAGAAAATATACAACCCACCCATCCATGAACATTAAGATAAGAATCAATTATACTATTTGACATTACCATTACACTAACTCAAACAGTAAAATGATGTACCTGCCCATGGAGAAGATAGATGCATGGGTGCTGCCTCTGGAACAACAGATTAAACTGGCAGAATGTAGGCAGAAGTGCCTGGTAGAAGAGGAGATGAACCTCTGTCAATGGATCCTCAAATAAGGCACGGAGCCGCAGACACCTGGCTTGCTTCTCGTCTAAAAGACAAAAACGTTCAAAAATAATAAATAGAAAATTGTAGTTTTGCATTTTTCATCAATAATGAATATGGGACTACAAACCAGTGGATCTGAAGTAGCTTGTCAGGGCCTTGTAGACACGGAGTATGCGGTTGACAGCCAGATCCAAACTGAGCCACCTAATGCTAAAATGCTGAAGTACCTCCATGTACGTGCTGTCACAAAACACACAGAATTCTGAATAGAACAAAATATGTATTTTAGATTGGCCCTTCAAACTATTTCTGAATCAATGCTTTTGAGTAGAATAAATGTGTTATGTGAGGATAACTTGCCATGAAGCATGTTCTTTCTCTTGGTGCTGGATTTAAACCAGTAGGCAAGATCGACGCAGAAATCTTCGACTTCAAAGCCCGACATCTGGAGGGTTAGCAAAATAAATGTGTTAGTGTTAATACTTTTACAATATGTACAAAGTGGCCATCCCAGTCAAATAGAAACAATTACAGTTGTGACTGTCAAGTCATTACCTCGGAGTACACCAAGCCACCAGCGTGTGCATTATTGTGCACAATGTGGCAGGGACAGCCAAGAACGTAGATAGATGGATTTTGGTCCAGGACCCTGCTCTTAATCGAATTCCTGGCTCCCAGATTGACACTAGCACTGTCAACTGCAAGGGCCACGCAGTTGGCCCATGGAATACTGTGGCCTTCCAGCACCTCATTCATTTTGCTGAATATGACCTCAGCAGTGCCACAGCTGGTTCCTGATGTCAGACCCATGTCAAGAAATCGTTGAATCACACCTTGTGAACTCCAAATGTTGACAGTCAGTGGATTCAACTTCTCTCTGCCTGTGACGACACAAATGTATTCAACACTTACTTACTTAATTCTGTGTGACCCATGGTCAACATGAACACACTTACCAGTATCATTGGACCCATCAGTGGCCAAAGAGAAGGGATGATCACACAGATTTTTCACAAGCTCATCCATAAAATATGGGGCTACAGACTTGTTTATGATGGCTGTTGTTTTTGTCCTGGCTGAGGAATACTTTTGGGCTATCTTGGAATCAGGGAAACACTCCTTGAACAGTGGACTCAGGCGATCCGAAAAAGCCAATGGGATGTTGTGCTGCACCATTGTCATGGCCACCTTCACTTCGGCTCTTCTGGTCTGTGGTTGTGTAATGACATATAAAATAGTAAACACAATCATATATCTACATAGGTGAGTATGCTGCTGTCAGGTCATTTATATTATTTTGACGTATTTAATCAATCAGTTTAATGATTTACAGGTTAGGCAAAGTTTATGTAACCCCAATCACTGCGGCTTAAACCCCACTAAATAACCATAACATCACTGTACTTAACCAACTTGTATACTATCACCTGTGTTTCCCGCTGACCCATCTCAGTGCTTTGCGTTCCTTGTATGAACATATTCATTTTTGAAGAGCTCTCAACCATCTTTTGTTTTTTCAAGTGTGATTCCCTATTGATATGGCGAATCACATCAGCTCTGCCCTGGTGTCTGCATTCTAATTCATGCCTGCATATGGAACACCAAAAATGAAAAGGTGTAGTCCCAGGCGTGATGAATGGCCATTCCTTGGTCCACTGGGAATTAAACTTGGAGCCATATGAGGCTGCCCCTGCGTTCTTCCTTTGTTTTGATGCACACAGCGCCTCACACTCTCTCTCTATGGTCTATGAGGAAGAGATTTAGATATTGAATTAGTTTATTGAACACAAGTGTAGACACTGACTTAACATGTTACAAATCATAACAAATAATGGAATCAAAATGTGTAAACAGCAATCTACAATTGTGTAGTTATTTGCTAGCAAATGTTACAATAAATACAATAAAAACAGCTCGCTAGCAGCCTTGGCTACCTGTGAAACCTTTGGGGTATGATATTGTGAACTAGCCAAGTTACCTGCACTTGTGTCTCGTCTTCATCTTCCCTCATTGTCTCCTCTGAGGATACTCTGCTGCCTCTGCCCCTGTTTTCCTCTGAACTGTTGTTGGCTAATGCCAGTCCCTCATCTCTTTCTCTCTCTTTAGTCTTCTTAAAGTATTTCACAAAGCTCTCCATCTGGAATACCAGTTTATTACAAAGTCTGTCTTGAATACATACATACATAGTAGTTAGAAAATAATTTGCATAATAAAACACCATTATTGTTATAATATATGTTTCTTTTATTCTTTAAAAGCTAGCTGTTAACATAGCTTAAGCTATTTAGGGGACTGAATTACAACTTTAGCGCCCTTCAAACCTAGCATAAAAGTCAAGTGACAATCTTTTAATGTGCTATACATTCTAAACAAGTTTAAACAAACAAATCTAAAATGTTAACAAACTTTATAAACAAATATGTGGCCTTTATAGAATAGGTTATCTTACTCTAATCATATTTTCAAACATATTCAACGATATCGATAAAGTACACTGTGCAAACCCACCTTTCCTTCTGTAGAGTTCGCCGTCGACTGATGAAAAGCATGGCATTAAGACGGATCTGCGCATGCGCAATACGGGTCGCAGATTGACCAACCAGCTCCCACTGCTCTGCTGTCTGTTAACGTTGTTAAGAGTGGTGGGGGCGGGGAGGGAGCGGATCGACAGCTTGAGCAGCTGTCAACTCAACATTGTAAATAACCAACCAAAAACGATCGCCAGTTCATCTTGTTTTGGCGTGAGAATAGTTTGGGCAGAGTGAGAGCGTGAGATTGACAGTGAAAGCGTGTGTCACACATAGTCAGATGAGCTTCAGTTGCTATGCTAACATCACCTGTCTAATACCAGAGAAACTTTAATAACAGCGTTGTGATGCCGAACTGCGTCAATTCAGACTGAAACACATTCACTTATGGGGATGGGGGATATTTATCAGCTGCTTGTGTGACAGTCAGACAGTGAATACTTTCCAGCGGCCACTGCCGTGAGTTAACGGAGAATAAACTCTGCCGTGAGATAAAAGTAAACTAAACTCCGGTGGTCGGTAAATGCCGCTGAACCACATTAATAAACAATGAACCACTGCACTCTGGAGAAAAGTACAAGGGTTGAGAAGTAGTTATTTAATTTAATCTGGCTTTGTACGATTAAAAGCAACACGATCATCGACCCGACGCAGTCCCCTAGAGAGAGCCGAAGTCCCTCCCTTTCCGGTGGACCTCCATGGGACCTTATTTCGGAAAAAATATGTAATTATCTTTCGATCCCGTTTTAATTGTGCCATGAATTACACATATGATGTTTGTTAATTTAAAAGATAATTTTGCAAGTCAAGAAAAATAAGTTTGTCGTAAAACTGTGTAAACACTTATTTTTGTGTGAAACCGCTCAATGAACTACATCTCTGGTCTCGCACAACACACGTCACCATCACCAGAATGAGGCGAAAAGTATTAAACAAGGTGGAAATCATTACAGAGTGCTCCGGGCTCAATTCCTACCACCATGTGATATACGTACCACGACAGCCAGTCAGGAAAAGAGCGCCGACTGTAAGAATGTTACAGTATTTAAACACATTCTGTGGGAGTTGTGTCGGTTGCTCCTCCCTAGCTATTTGTTATTGGTGATTTCACTTCTGGACGACCTAGCCAGTGAGTTGGCAGTTCTCCATTGGCCAGTTTGACTTCTGAGCGAACCCTAGACCGTGAGCTGGTAGTTCTCCATTGGCCAGTCTCACTTCTAGGCGGGACCCTAGGCAATGAGTCAGCAGTTGTTAACTCCATCTGTTTTGCCCCCTCTCCTTACAGTGTGTGTGTGTGTGTGTGTGTGTCTCTATGTCCCTCTTGCCCTCAGGCAGTCCCACAGTCATGCTTTGGAGTCATGACAGAACACACACTCAATCAATCAATCAACAACTTTATTAATTTATTTATTAAGGGGCAATTGGTTATGAGCAGCAGCTTATGTCATGTACACAGGCAGGAACATACAAGAAAAGAAAAAAACACACAGATACACCCGGGAGCACAGATGTGAATAATTCTAATTTACACTATAAATAGTTCAAAGTATCACAATAATAAATAAATAAATAATCAAGTTAAAAGCCTTTTCAAGAATTTAAAAGTTTGAGTGCAGAAGGGATGAATGATTTAGAAAAGCGATTAGTCCTTTGATCAGGTAGAGCATATCTACGCCCTGATGGCAACAGACGAAATTCATGTGAAAGTACATGACCTGGAGAGTTCAGAATGCTCTCTGCTTTCCGCAGAATCTGTTGGTTACAGAAGGAATTTAAGTCTCTCTGTTTCACGCCGATGATCTTGGAGCAGGTTTTAACAATGCTATTCAGGCTGTTCCTGTCTTTCAGTGTAAGGCTATGGAACCAGCAGATAAAAGAAAAACAAATAAGGCTCTCAATGAATGCTTGGTAAAAACAACAAAGAATGAAAGGCCTGACAGAGAAAGAGTTCAGTTTGCGAAGAAGGTGCATTCTCTGTTGACCCCGCTTCACAATACACTCAGTATTCACATCAAATTTGAGGTGGTCATCGAAAATGGTGCCCAAGTATTTGTATGATGTGACAATTTCTACCTTGTCATTGTGTATGATGCACTCCTTAGGAACATCCTTGTGACGTCTAAAATCAATGATCAATTCCTGGGTTTTGGAGACATTTAAATCCAGAAAACTGTCAGTTTAAAATGACATAATAGGCTCTCTACCAGGAGATGCAGCTGCATTGTGTTAAATGCTGAAGAAAAGTCAGCAAACAAAAGCCTGGCATGGGCTTGTGGCTTTTTAAGGTGTTTGTGGAGGGTGTGCAGTATAAAAAGCTTTGCATCCTCTAAGCCTCCCTGCCTGATACGCAAATTGTAGTGGATCAAGTTCACCACCTATTACTGACATGACCTTTAAGGCCTTTAACAATTTTTTCAAACATTTTCATTACCAATGACGTTAAAGCCACCGGTCTGAAGTCATTTAGGACTTTAGGATGAGGCTTCTTCGGGATGGGAATTACAGTTGAGGATTTCCACATATCAGGAATTTGGCTATTCTGAAGTGACAGTTGGAAGATATGCTGGAAAACACCACAGAGTTTGCTAGCACAATACTGGAGTGTACGCCCACAAATATGGTCAGGACCTGGGGCCTTCCTAATATTGACTCGTTTTAAGAGATTCCTAACATCATCCTGTTCAATGACTATGTCTGAGATAGGTGAGAGAGACTCTCTAAGGGTTGAGGTGTTTATGGAGAAATCATTTTTCTCGAATCGAGAATAAAAAATGTTAAAAGCATTGGGGAGGTCTGCCTCATTTGTTCCCTCAATGTTAATTGTATTCCTAGCCCTGTCATTGTTGTTACCCTGGGAGATGGAGGACATTGATTTGATTCCCCTCCAGGGTTCCCGAAGATCTCCACTGCTGTATTTGAGTTCCACCTTATAAGCTATTTTAGATTTTCTTATCTCATTTCTTAATTCTCTGTTAATTTATTTTTTGTCCTGACTATTTCCAGTATAAAATATACGTTTCTTTCTATTTATAACACTCTTTAGTTCCTTCATGACCCACGGCTTATTATTAGGGAAGACGGTAATGTCTTTACAAGGAATGTTAGACTCCACACAAAATGATATGTAGGATGAGACAGTTGACGTCAGTTCATTGAGATCAGAGCATGAGCTATAAAACACATCCCAATCCGTGCAGTCCAAACATGCCTGTAAGGTGGCAATGCTTTCCTCTGTCCAACATTTCACAGTTTTTTTTGTGCACACTTGTTTCCTGCAGATGGGTTTGATCGGCACCAGAAGAACGCTCGTGTGGTATGAAGCTCCAAAAGGGGGCATGGTCAGGGACTTGAACGCACCAGGCACCGTGCCGTAACATAAGTCAATAGTGGATTTATTTAAAGTTGTAGGACA